GCAAGAGCAGATTGCCACCACACCGTGGCACTTGCCAAGCAAGCGACGCGGTCTTCAGATGCTTCAGTGGCCTCGGTTGCGGTCGCCTCTCTTTGATCTGAGACGACCCCCCGCCATCGTCCATCCGACACCGTCGGCAGCGCACGACCGTGGTCCGTCGGTGTATTCGCTTGCGGTAGCCAGCGCCACGAGCTTGCTTGTCACGCTTCACTTTCTGCGCTCATCCTTCTCCCGTCCTCCTTCTTGGGGCCGTGCGGCGTCCACATCATGCACGAACCTGCTTCGCAGGTCAAGCCCGTTCTCTTTCTGCTTACGTGCGCACATTCCTTCTGAATACCTGGCGCGACATCGCGCGTCCTGAGTTTGCCCCCCCCCCCAAAAAAAAAACAAAAAAAACGAGGCGCCACGGGGCCCCAAGAGGCCCCTAAGAGGTCCCCAAGAGGCCCCCAAGAGGCCCCCAAGAGGCTCCAAAGAGGCTCCCAGGACGCCACAACAAAAAAAACCAAGAGTCCCCTCCCCGGACGCCCCGAGGCACTCCTGGCGATCGCGAGGCTCCCAGAGAGGAGAGGCGACGAACAGCCTTCCTGACGCGCTCTTGGACCGCTCATCTCCAGCTTACGCCTCGAAGGATTCGCAGTATCCTTGAACGCTTCGCCAAAGAACGTGGGGCCGCAGACAGCTGTTCCCGATTCGCGGCATCACTTGTGCGACTCATATCATCGGCAAGACGGCGACCACGATCTGACAAAGGAGCAATGACGAGGGGGCCATGAACATGGCGACAGCTTGGCATTTCGCAGCCCCCAGGGACGGCGAGGCCTCATTCTGATCTGCGTATGGCATCACTCCGCTGGGCCTCCCAGGAGCCCGCGAACGCGGCAACAGCCTCGCAGTTCGCAGCCCCCAGGGACGGCGAGGCCTCATTCTGATCTGCGGATCACGTCACTCCGCTGGACCCGGCCGCAGCCCACGAAGGTGGCGACAGTTTCGCTTTTCGCAGCCCCCCATGGCCGGGGAGGCCTCATTCTGATCTGCGTATCACGTGACCCCGTTGGCCCCGCCAGCAGCCACCCAAAATGGCGGCCGTCTCCCTGCTCGCAGCCCCCCAGGGACGGCGAGGTCTCATTCTGATATGCGGCGGCCAGGCCTCATTCTGATTCGCGTGGGACGTCACGCGTGTGCCCCCCCCAAGGAGCCCACGAAGGTGGCGACAGCTCCGCTGGTCCAGCCCCCAGGGCTCTCATTCTGATCCGCGGAGATCGTCACGCCGCTGGGCCCCCCAGAAGCCCACGAAGGCGGCGGCGGCAGTATCTCTGCTCGCAGGCCCCATGGGCGGCGCGGTCTCATTCTGATCCGCGTAGGACGTCACGCCGCTGGGCCACCCAGAAGCCAACGAAACTGGCGACAGTTTCGCATTTCACAGCACCCAGGGACGTCGAGGTTTCATTCTGACGTGCGCGTGACATCACCCAGCTGGACCTCCCAGGACCCCCCAAACGTGCCGTCAGTTTCGCAGTTCCACTCCGCTGGACCTCGCAGGAGCCCATGAAAGCGGCGACAGTTTCGCAGCTGCAGGCCCCAGCGGCGGCGAAGCCTGATTCTACAGGCTTACGCCACATCCGCCGACCCTGTCTGTGACTGTTGCGAGGCCAGGAGTTTCTGGCTAGCGGCGTCTTGTGTGAGGGTGCGGTGTCGCGCGCGGGTGGTGGCAGATACGTGGGGGGTCTAAATGTTTGCGTGATGCCGGTGGTTTGGGGCGTGTTTTGCGAGCGCCTTGCGTGCTGTGCACCCGGGTGCGGGGTGTCCTTCTGGGGGGTCGGCCTTTGGACCCCCAACCAAGTGGAGGAGCACCGGAAGACGAAAGGAGCAAGAGTAGCGTGCGGAAGCTGTGATCAGCGAAGCATCACCGCGAAAGATGTGGCAGATGTGTCGGGACGGGTGAAGAGGCTGTTGACGTTCGCAGCGCGCACGAAACAGTTCGCGTAGCAGCAGCACATTAGCGCCGAGCAAGATTGTGAGCATGTCGCGAGGAAGAGCAAGGCTGCATGCGCGGAGTGCATTGCAGTTGGCTTGACGGCTCGCAATGCGGAAGCGTATGGGTTTTTTTTGGAGGCCTCCTTGGGGCCTCTTGGGAGCTCCTTGGGGCGTCTTGGCGGCCTCTTGGGGGCCCCTGGCGGCCTCTTGGGGCACTCTTGGGGCCCCCTGGGGCTCGTGGGACGGAAAGCTAGACTTTGGAATTTTTGGTTGCCCTCTTGGTGCCGTCTTGGAGCCTTCTTGGGCCGTTTTGGGAACCTCTTGGGTCGTTTTGGGGCCATCTTGGGCCGTCGTGGGGCCGTCTTGGGGGCCTCTTGGGCCGTCTTGGGGCGGTCTTCGGGGCCTCTTGGGCCGCCTTGGAGCGTCGGAAAACCCACGAGGCGAATTTGTGAACACTATACGTTTTACGAAGGAAAGGGTGATTTTTGGCGTCTAGGGACCCTCATGGGACGCATTTTGGAGGCGGGGCGTTCCTGGAACGCTCTTGGGGCCGTTTTCGGGGCAGTTTTCGGGGCCGTCTTGGACGCCTGTTGGCCCGTCTTGGGGCCCTCTTGGGCTATTTTGGGACACTTGGAGGCTTCTTGGACCGTCTTGGGGCGGTCTTGGGGGCCTCGTGGGCCGTCTGGGAGCATCGGAAAACCCAGAAGGCGACCTTGTGAAAAATGTACGTCTAACGGAGGGAATGGGCAAACTTTTGCGTCTAGGGACCCTCTTGGGGCGCATCTTGGAGGCCTCTTGGGGCCTCGTGGGGACCTCTTATGCCGGCCACCTTGGGCGTCTTGGAGCGCTCGTTTGGCGTCCCGGGGCCATTTCGAGGCCACCTGAGGAGTCCTTCCAGTATTTTCGGGAGCGGATGACCCCCCCGGGGGAATCGAGGGAATCGGGGGAATCAGGGGAATCGGGGAATTTGGCCGGACCCCCCCCCCCAAAATCGACCGGACCGGGCTCCCGGGGGAGTCATCCTTATTTGTGCCTCCTCCCAGGAGGCCACAATGTGGCCAAAGTCTTAGTAACGTCAATGAGTTTGGCGTTCTCGCCGAGGCCTCTTGGAGCGTCTTGGGTGCGGGGCCTTTTGGGGGCCTCTGGGGGTCTCCTGGGAGCCTTTCGGGGGGCATCCTAGGAGCCTCTTGGGGGCCTCTTGGGGCCTCCTGGCCACCTCTTGAGGCCCTCTTGGGGCACCCTTGGGAGCCTTGGGGGGCATCTTTGGGCATTTTTGGGTGAGATCGATCAGAGGACGGGGGGTCCCCAATTAGCCTTCCCCCCCGAGGAGGCCAAAATGATGCCAAAACCTTCGTAAAGCCAATGATTTTGGCTTCCTCGCCGAGGCCGTGTTGGACGCTCCAATTACCCGCGGAACCCCTCGCCCAGGTCCAGGGGAGTGGGCAGGGGGAGGCGTAAACCCCTCCCCGAACGGCAGGAAGGGGGTTGGAACAGGAACCCCCCTGCACCACCTACGCCCTAAAGGGCTGGTGGGATTTCTGGTCCACAGGAAGGCCCCATGAGTAGGCACCTCCATTGTCAGGTTGTTTCTTGCGCCGGTCCTGCTAAGATCTTCTGTTGGCCCATGTTGCCCCGCGCGCCGTGCGCGCCTGCGAGGTTCGGCTACGCGCAGGAGGGGGGTTCGGAAAGGAGGGGGGCTTCTCAGAAACACACCTGCTTGTGAGAAGGCGCGGGCCTTGGCTGTAAATGTAATGCCCGCGCCTTGTAAGAAGCAGTCTCTTTCTGAGAAGTCCCCCCCCCTACCCCTTCTGCGCGCTGGCAAAAGGTGGCCCCGCCCGCGAGCCAGGCGTGTTTTGGCCCAGCCGCAAGAGATGCAGATGTAGACAGAATGTGTCCGAAAGCTGCCGCGAACCCTCCCACGTCCAATCCTTGCAAAAAGTGAAGCGGCTCTTGCCGTGTCACCGAGAAGCCACCCGAAGGGCCCAAAACAAAAGGACAGACCAATCATAAATCATTTGATCGTCCATACAAAGATCTATGTAGCACCCCGCCCCCGAGCCATACCGAAGAGGACCGAGAGGGAGGGCTCCGAGGAAACCGATCCGCCGACCCGTGCCTAGAGGACCCGAGCCCTCCCCCCATCCGAATCCCGTAGAGGGCGCCCTCCGGAGGAGGGCGTGGGTTAGCCGTGCCAACCGGCTCCACACCCACGACACACGCGCACAAGATTACAACCAGGAGGAGCCAGTTTGGCCCGCTGCACCTGCCGCGGCCGTTCTGCCCGTTCACCTGGGGGGGGGAGGGCGAGGAGAAGGAGGAGGCCGATGACGTAGCAGAACATCTTGGAGGCCTATGCTCGAGCAGCAGCCACGGTTGCACCTTGACTTGCCTTCCGTGCATACCGAACTCTTGCGTGTTCTCCTCTCACTTTCAGCTCGCCGGGATGGCGACCTACCAAAAGACAATGCGGACGCTACTGATTTTGTCGATGGTTTCGCTTGCCCATGGCGAGCGCATCCATTCCAACGTGCGCGTCATGAATTACAACGTGCGGGGCCCGACGAACTGTGGCTTGAGTGCGTGCGTGGCTCGCAAGAATGACGGCACCGCTGTTGCATGGGGGCAGAGTTCTTGGGGAGGTGACGCTTCAAGTGTCGATCTCACGAACGTAGCAGATGCAATGTGTGGCTATCGGGCGTGCGTGGCTCGCAAGAATGACGGCACCGCTGTTGCATGGGGACTCAGCCCTTACGGAGGTGACGCTTCAAGCGTCGATCTCACGAACGTAGCAGATGTAATGTGTGGTGAGTGGGCGTGCGTGGCTCGCATGAATGACGGCACCGCTGTTGCATGGGGGGAGAGTCTTTACGGAGGTGACGCTTCAAGTGTCGATCTCACGAACGTCGCAGATGCAATGTGTGGCGCTGTGGCGTGCGTGGCTCGCAAGAATGACGGCACCGCTGTTGCATGGGGACGGAGTTCTTGGGGAGGTGACGCTTCGAGCGTCGATCTCACGAACGTAGCAGATGCAATGTGTGGTTATGGGGCGTGCGTGGCTCGCAAGAATGACGGCACCGCTGTTGCATGGGGGCAGAGTTCTTACGGAGGTGACGCTTCAAGCGTGGATCTCACGAACGTCGCAGATGCAATGTGTGGCTATGCGTGCGTGGCTCGCAAGAATGACGGCACCGCTGTTGCATGGGGACTCAGTTCTAACGGAGGTGACGCTTCAAGCGTCGATCTCACGAATGTAGCAGATGCAATGTGTGGCTCGAGTGCGTGCGTGGCTCGCAAGAATGACGGCACCGCTGTTGCATGGGGGCAGAGTTCTTACGGAGGTGACGCTTCAAGCGTCGATCTCACGAACGTAGCAGATGCAATGTGTGGCTATCGGGTGTGCGTGGCTCGCAAGAATGACGGCACCGCTGTTGCATGGGGAAGCAGTCTTTACGGAGGTGACGCTTCAAGCGTCGATCTCACGAACGTAGCAGATGCAATGTGTGGCGGTTATGTGTGCGTGGCTCGCAAGAATGACGGCACCGCTGTTGCATGGGGATCCAGTTCTCACGGAGGTGACGCTTCAAGCGTCGATCTCACGAATCTAGCAGATGTGGAGGCGACGCCATCTTCTGCATCAGCCACTGGCGACCCGCACTTGCAGAACATCTACGGCGAAAGGTTCGACCTGATGAAGGCGGGCAACGTCTCGCTCATCCACGTTCCTCGCGGAGTTCCCGTGAAGGACAGCCTTCTCATCGTCGAGGCAGACGCTCGCCGTCTAGGCGACTCTTGCGCTGACCTGTACTTCCAGACGCTCAGCATCACGGGCAAGTGGGCGAGCTCGGACCTTCATTTCAATGCCCAGGAGCCGCCCGAGAGGAAGGCTACGTGGTTGCAGCTCGGTCCGGTGGAGCTTAAGGTTGTTCATGGACGTACGGAGCAGGGCCATCTCTACTTGAACTTCTTCGTCAAACACCTTGGACGCGCAGGCGCGGCTGTCGGTGGACTGCTCGGAGCAGATGATCACGCTGAGGCAGCAACTGCAAGAGCAGATTGCCACCACACCGTGGCACTTGCCAAGCAAGCGACGCGGTCTTCAGATGCTTCAGTGGCCTCGGTTGCGGTCGCCTCTCTTTGATCTGAGACGGCCCCCCGCCATCGTCCATCCGACACCGTCGGCAGCGCACGACCGTGGTCCGTCGGTGTATTCGCTTGCGGTAGCCAGCGCCACGAGCTTGCTTGTCACGCTTCACTTTCTGCGTTCATCCTTCTCCCGTCCTCCTTCTTGGGGCCGTGCGGCGTCCACATCATGCACGAACCTGCTTCGCAGGTCAAGCCCGTTCTCTTTCTGCTTACGTGCGCACATTCCTTCTGAATACCTTGCGCGACATCGCGCGTCCTGAGTTTGCCCCCCCCCCTCAAAAAAAATAGCCTGGCGAAGGACCCAACCATATGCAACTGTGAATACCGCAAGTGTGAATATCGTTTTCGGCTGCGCTACCTCTGGGTAGTGGAGACGCATGCGAACACCCCCACTGGGGCCTTCGGTGGAGCTCCCTATGGGGCTACGAAACGCTGCCCTGGGTGGGGGAACCGCATGCAGGCAGCCCCACTGGGGCCTTCGGTGGAGCTCCCTGTGAGGCTACGAAACGCTGCCCTGGGTGGGGGAACCGCATGCGGGCACCCCCACTGGGGCCTACGGTGGAGCTCCCTCTGGGGCTACGAAACGCTGCCCTGGTGGGGAACCGCACGAGGCACCCCACTGGGCCTACGGTGGAGCTCCCTACCGCTGGGCTGTGGACACCCCCAGAAGCGGTGCCCTGGGTGGGGGAACCGCATCACCCCCACTGGGGCCTTCGGTGGAGCTCCCTATGGGGCCACGAAACGCTGCCCTGGGTGGGGGAAACGCATGTGGACACCCCCACTGGGGCCTTCGGTGGAGCTCCCTATGGGGCCACGAAACGCTGCCCTGGGTGGGGGAACCGCATGCGAACACCCCCACTGGGGCCTTCGGTGGAGCTCCCTATGGGGCCACGAAACGCTGCCCTGGGTGGGGGAACCGCATGCGAACACCCCCACTGGGGCCTTCGGTGGAGCTCCCTATGGGGCCACGAAACGCTGCCCTGGGTGGGGGAACCGCATGCGAACACCCCCACTGGGGCCTTCGGTGGAGCTCCCTATGGGGCTACGAAACGCTGCCCTGGGTGGGGGAACCGCATGCGAACACCCCCACTGGGGCCTTCGGTGGAGCTCCCTATGGGGCCACGAAACGCTGCCCTGGGTGGGGGAACCGCATGTGGACACCCCCACTGGGGCCTTCGGTGGAGCTCCCTATGGGGCCACGAAACGCTGCCCTGGGTGGGGGAACCGCATGTGACACCCCCACTGGGGCCTTCGGTGGAGCTCCCTATGGGGCCACGAAACGCTGCCCTGGGTGGGGGAACCGCATGTGGACACCCCCACTGGGGCCTTCGGTGGAGCTCCCTATGGGGCCACGAAACGCTGCCCTGGGTGGGGGAACCGCATGTGGACACCCCCACTGGGGCCTTCGGTGGAGCTCCCTCTGGGGCTACGAAACGCTGCCCTGGGTGGGGGAACCGCATGTGGACACCCCCACTGGGGCCTTCGGTGGAGCTCCCTCTGGGGCCACGAAACGCTGCCCTGGGTGGGGGAACCGCATGCGGGCACACTCACTGGGGCCTTCGGTGGAGCTCCCTCTGGGGCTACGAAGCGCTGCCCTGGGTGGGGGAACCGCATGTGGACACCCCCACTGGGGCCTTCGGTGGAGCTCCCTCTGGGGCTACGAAACGCTGCCCTGGGTGGGCCACTCGGGGCGCTCCTGGAGCGCTCTTGGGGCCGTTTTCGGGGCAGTTTTCGGGGCCGTCTTGGACGCCTGTTGGCCCGTCTTGGGGCCCTCTTGGGCTATTTTGGGGCACTCTTGGAGGCTTCTTGGACAGTCTTGGGGCGGTCTTGGGGGCCTCGTGGGCCGTCTGGGAGCATCGGAAAACCCTGAAGGCGACCTTGTGAAAAATGTACGTCTAACGGAGGGAATGGGCAAACTTTTGCGTCTAGGGACCCTCTTGGGACGCATCTTGGAGGCCTCTTGGGGCCTCGTGGGGACCTCTTATGCCGGCCACCTTGGGCGTCTTGGAACGCTCGTTTGGCGTCCCGGGGCCATTTCGAGGCCACCTGAGGAGTCCTTCCAGTATTTTCGGGAGCGGATGACCCCCCCGGGGGAATCGGGGGAATCGGGGGAATCAGGGGAATCGGGGAATTTGGCCGGACCCCCCCCCCCAAATCGACCGGACCGGGCTCCGGGGGGAGTCATCCTTATTTGTGCCCCCTCCCAGGAGGCCACAATGTGGCCAAAGTCTTAGTAACGTTAATGAGTTTGGCGTTCTCGCCGAGGCCTCTTGGAGCGAGCGTCTTGGGTGCTGGGCCTTTTGGGGGCCTCTGGGGGTCTCCTGGGAGCCTCTCGGGGGGCATCCTAGGAGCCTCTTGGGGGCCTCTTGGGGCCTCCTGGCCACCTCTTGAGGCCCTCTTGGGGCACCCTTGGGAGCCTTGGGGGGCATCTTTGGGCCTTTTTTTGGGTGAGATCGATCAGAGGACGGGGGGTCCCCAATTAGCCTTCCCCCCCGAGGAGGCCAAAATGATGCCACAACCTTCGTAAAGCCAGTGGTTTTGGCTTCCTCGCCGAGGCCGTGTTGGACGCTCCACTTACCCGCGGAACCCCTCGCCCAGGTCCAGGGGAGTGGGCAGGGGGAGGCGTAAACCCCTCCCCGAAAGGCAGGAAGGGGGTTGGAACAGGAACCCCCCTGCACCACCTACGCCCTAAAGGGCTGGTGGGATTTCTGGTCCACAGGAAGGCCCCATGAGTAGGCACCTCCCCTGTCAGGTTGTTTCTTGCGCCGGTCCTGCTAAGATCTTCTGTTGGCCCATGTTGCCCCGCGCGCCGTGTGCGCCTGCGAGGTTCGGCTACGCGCAGGAGGGGGGTTCAGAAACACACCTGCTTGTGAGAAGGCGCGGGCCTTGGCTGTAAATGTAATGCCCGCGCCTTGTAAGAAGCAGTCTCTTTCTGAGAAGTCTCCCCCCCTACCCCTTCTGCGCCCTGGCAAAAGGTGGCCCCGCCCGCGAGCCAGGCGTGTTTTGGCCCAGCCGCCAGAGATGCAGATGTAGACAGAATGTGTCCAAAAGCTGCCGCGAACCCTCCCACGTCCAATCCTTGCAAAAAGTGAAGCGGCTCTTGCCGTGTCACCGAGAAGCCACCCGAAGGACCCAAAAGGACAGAAAAATCATAAATCATTTGATCGCCCATACAAAGATCTATGTAGCACCTCCTGGGATGACGAATTGGGTTTGCGCCGGCTCTTGCCAGTACGTCCTGGGTTCAGCCTGGTCCAGCTCAACCAGTCTCAGTTTGCACAGCCGCCCCATGATTTGATGTATAATTAGCCTGCTGCCTTCCCTGCGAAAACCTCCCAGGAGTCTGGGGTGGCCAAAAGCGGGGTGGTGTCTTGGGGGTTGTATTTCATGTCCGGGGCAAAGAAATCTCCCCAGACATCATCTCCCCGTCGTCTTCGTTACATACGTCCCCTGTCTCCCCCCCCCTTTCGCAATCACGCGCCTCGGGGCACGATTTGCGAACCCCCCCTCCTTGAGGCGCCCCCACGTGGACGCCCCCGAAGGAGCTGCCTCCCAGCGAGGCGTCCCCTCGCAAGCCCCTTCCTTCATGGAGAATCAATCGGAGGTGGATAGACCTCCTACCCTGACACGTCGATTCAGGAATTGGCCGTTTTCGGTTCGCGAGATGGCGTCGCGGCCGTCATTTTTGCGGGTCCAGGGCCGCCGGTTTCGGTCCCAGGCCGTTTTCACTAAGGGGAGGCCTACTCAAGGGAGGTTTATCCACCGCCGAGTCAAAGACCCCCCGACCCGACTCCCACGAGGAACCCGTGGCCAAAGCAGTTGAGGTGCCGGCCACCCCCTGCAGGAGGGGTAATACATGTTGGTGGCCTGGCTCGATGCCTCTGCTAAGAATCGAGCAGGGGATCGACTACAGAATTGATTTATCCGAAAATCGGTTTTGTCGTGCAATCTGAGAACATTTGCAGAAGTCTCAGTCGATTGCTGAACAATCTAGGTCTTCGTCGTAGATTCGATGGAGAATCAATTTTGGGGTACATCAATTCTGTAGTCGATCCCCTACTCGAAAGAAGACCCCATCTCTCCATTTCTTTTGCTCCTCTGAACTGAATCCCCCCCTCGAGGGTTAGGGGCGCTTCGATTGCGAGCCCTTCCTCGCTGGACGGCGCCCTGTGCTCTCGAGATGCCTACCCTGCCCGCGCAGAGCTCCCCAGAGGCGCCGCGCCTGACAGCAAGCCGCTCCAGGAGCTCTGGGCCTCCGCGTATGAGGCCGGGCCCCGCTGCCAGAATCAAGGGAAGACAAGACACCCCGACCAGACTATTGGCGTTCAGTGAACGGCCTTGGGCGTTTACGAAACAGCCCTGTCCCATTCGATTCCTTCCTTGGGTGCGTCTTCTCAACGGCTTCGCTTCTCGTGGTTGTTATTCTGGTGCGTTTTTTGCCCTCATACAGAAATCTCAGAGGGGTCGTTCCTGCTGCTGGCGACCCCTCCCCCCTCATTCAGACCCTTCCCTGGTCTTCCTTTCTTGTTGCGCCTCCTTGGAGGCCCTCGTCGCCATCGCTCGATTCGCCTCGAAATTCTGGTCAGAACGCACCCCAGGAGAGGTCTGGGGAGTGTCGGTATGGGTATCGTTTGGTTTCCCACCTCATCAGCTGTCGGCCGACAATTCTTTTCCCAGGATGGTTGGGGGTCCCAATCCGTCAATAAACCCGCGCGAAGAGCAGTCATGTCCCCGTTCGTGGGGGATTGACGACCCTTCGCAGTCAACGGTTGAGAATCAGATCTGAAGTCGCAGAGGCTTCCGTTCAGCCCCCAAGACGGCACCCAAAAGGCTTCAAAATTCGTTCTAAGAGGCCCCCGAAGACATGCCAAGAAGGTCCCATGACGACTTCAAGAAATAGTCCAGGATGCTCCGAGGAGGCCCCAAGAAGCTAGCTAGAACTTGAGGGCGCGCGAAGCGCGCGATAGTTCTAGTGGTGTACATCGGCGAATGGCG